AGTCGACGCAATCAGAACTACAAATTTTCCTTATCCTAAAGCAGAGTGAATGGATTAAATTCCTTTTCCTGGAAATAGGCACCCAACTGTAAAAATTAGTTAGTTGTCCGTTCCATGTACGTTTCCGGTGGATCGATCTCTTGAGAGATCCGTCATTCCGTCTGCTAAGGCACACATCAAGAAACGGAATACTTAGTTCCGATTCCTTTTCTATGGTGAATTGTAAAGAAGGATGGCAGTTGTTGAAGGCGAACAAGACATCATCAAGAACTACTTTCTTATCGCAGATGACGAAAGTGTCGTCTACGTATCTTTTATAAATGTCAAAATGCCCGATGGTTTGACTAAGTTGAGAATTTTCCAGCTTTGCCATAAAACAATCAGCTAACAAAGGACCCAGTGGTGATCCCATGGCAATGCCATCTCTCTGTCTATAGATCTCATTGTTGAAGGTGAACTGAACATTCAACGTGCATCTCAATAAAAGTTCTTTGAGGTGGATTGTCGGTAAACCTATTTCCAAACCATGTGTATCAATATACTCACATAAATAGCTAACAGTTTCCATGAGAGGAACATTGGTAAATAGCGACGTGACATCTAATGAGAACAGGACTTTTTCTGAGACATTAAAATCTTTAATACTATCAATAAATTTAAACGTATCATCAATGGAAAACTTAGATACTTGCCTTCTGACTGGTTCCAATATTTCGGCTAGCCATTGGGCGATTCCGTGATAAGGAGAGCCCGCCATATCGAGGATTGGACGGAGGGGTAATCCTGTCTTATGTATTTTAGGTAGTCCATACAAACGTGGTATAATGGAGCCTACTGGTCTGATGCGTTCGTATATTTCTGACGATATTGCTGACTTATTCCTCATATTCTTTAAGACATCAGTCAGTTGATTTTCAATTAAATGTGTCTTGTTCTTTTCACCGTCGGGTTTGGCGAATTTCGTTTGGTCAGAAAGGATCGCTGAGATTTTATCATTATAATCTTGGCGATTCATAACTACGACACCCCCACCTTTGTCTGGACGGCATATGATAATATCATCATTCTTCTCTAGCTCTTTCAGTTGGTCTATATGCTCTTTAGTCAGAAGATTATTCGAGCTAGGTTTTGAACTAGTATACTGATGACAGCAATCAAGAACTGTGGATTTAAAGTATTGGAATTCCTCAGGTGATGTGGGTGTAAGATCGTTGGTCTGATTAATAAGATTTTCGAATTGCACTTGAGTATGCAGTCTGTTGACTTTGGATGAACTGTTGCAGAATTTGGGGCCCAGTGATAGGGCTTGTAGTTGAATTTCAGAAAGAGTGACGGAGGAATAATTAAATACATACTTATTGGGGTCAGTCGGGAATCGCTTTTCTGCTAATACCTGCTTGAGACTGTCAAGATGCTTGAGGTTAGCAGACTGGGACTGTTTTTCAATGACACAAGAAACGTATTCCTCGAATTGCCGGCGTTCATCAGTCGAAAGTTCAAACAGAACATGACTTCTCAGAGTTATGTTCCTGTTTAATTCTACCACACGAGAACTGATTGCATCAATATGATTAAGTGTGTGGCGCTTTAATGTTTTGGAATTAGGACATATACGGCTACGTCTAAGCGCTTTCCAAAATAAATTAGGATATTCATTTTTACTGATACAGCTTTCAAGAAAGTTAATCTCGGATTTCACTAACGCAAGTTTGACAGAATACCGTAGGAAACCATTAAGTTCCTTCATCGTCATTGGGTCTTTGCATTTTTTCAATAATTTAATAATTCCCATTGTAGCATTAAGAACACAATTTTCAGCGAAGAGACTCTTTTCAACGAATTTATTATCAAGCTGTACAATCGTATATATATGGTTTTATAAAGAAATTATATCCGGTGAGGGAATTAGGTCAAAGGTGTAAATACATGAAATAATAATAGTATGAAATAAATTTAAAATATTTGTGATTAGGTTCATAGTTTAAGTCAAGTGGAACAATAATTAATGTCATATATAAGATAATACATCAGGTGTATAGATTTTGGGGAGAGGCATATAATTGTAAGATTAATAGACGAATGTAAAATGTTACGTAATATGGTGTGAAATTTGATAACATAGAATTTAATATTGTAAAAATAAAGATAAAAAGTATACACATGAATAATTTTTGGTTTAAAATGTCAAGTAGATCAAGTGGAAAAGATTCAGAATGAGAGTCGTAATAATAATAATAATGATAATAATAATAATAATCGAAGTAATAAGGGAAAAGTACATAAAATAATAAAAAAAATAAATGTCTATCCCTCTACGGCCAAGGCAGCAGTAGGGATTGTACATACTTCTTTTGTACACAAAGGTCTGGCTTAAAGTCATGAATTGCCAAGGCCTCAGCTGTCTTTAGAAGTCTGTAACGAAGAAAACGCGGGAAGTTGGCATGAATTCTGTATAAGACCTTGAAATCATGGTCAGGGTTGACCGAGTGACAGGAGTCGATGAGGTGTTCTAAGATAGAACTTCGCACACATTTCCTTTCTCCTTTGTAAAACCAAGCTGGAATATGTTCTCGTATCCGTGTGGAGAGCATTCTCTGACTACGGCCAATGTACCTTGCTCCACAAGAGCAGGTGAACTGGTAGATGCACATGGAGGCGGTCAGACGGGGGAGCTTATCTTTTACAGAGGTAGAGAACAGTTTGCGGCTCGTGAACGTCATATGTAATCTAGCTGCAGGGAACGTTTTACTAACTGATTTAGAAAGACGATTTTTGAGCATATCAGAAGCTTGATCTCCTTTGAATTCCAAGTTCACGAATAGGGTTTTCTTTGGAACTGAGTCAGTGACCAGTTTAGACTGCTTCTCTTTCATGTTTCTGTCAATAAATCGGTTAGGGTAACCGTTTTCTGCGAGTGTGGCTTTCAGGAAGTCAAGTTCTGAGTCGACGCAATCAGAACTACAAATTTTCCTTATCCTAAAGCAGAGTGAATGGATTAAATTCCTTTTCCTGGAAATAGGCACCCAACTGTAAAAATTAGTTAGTTGTCCGTTCCATGTACGTTTCCGGTGGATCGATCTCTTGAGAGATCCGTCATTCCGTCTGCTAAGGCACACATCAAGAAACGGAATACTTAGTTCCGATTCCTTTTCTATGGTGAATTGTAAAGAAGGATGGCAGTTGTTGAAGGCGAACAAGACATCATCAAGAACTACTTTCTTATCGCAGATGACGAAAGTGTCGTCTACGTATCTTTTATAAATGTCAAAATGCCCGATGGTTTGACTAAGTTGAGAATTTTCCAGCTTTGCCATAAAACAATCAGCTAACAAAGGACCCAGTGGTGATCCCATGGCAATGCCATCTCTCTGTCTATAGATCTCATTGTTGAAGGTGAACTGAACATTCAACGTGCATCTCAATAAAAGTTCTTTGAGGTGGATTGTCGGTAAACCTATTTCCAAACCATGTGTATCAATATACTCACATAAATAGCTAACAGTTTCCATGAGAGGAACATTGGTAAATAGCGACGTGACATCTAATGAGAACAGGACTTTTTCTGAGACATTAAAATCTTTAATACTATCAATAAATTTAAACGTATCATCAATGGAAAACTTAGATACTTGCCTTCTGACTGGTTCCAATATTTCGGCTAGCCATTGGGCGATTCCGTGATAAGGAGAGCCCGCCATATCGAGGATTGGACGGAGGGGTAATCCTGTCTTATGTATTTTAGGTAGTCCATACAAACGTGGTATAATGGAGCCTACTGGTCTGATGCGTTCGTATATTTCTGACGATATTGCTGACTTATTCCTCATATTCTTTAAGACATCAGTCAGTTGATTTTCAATTAAATGTGTCTTGTTCTTTTCACCGTCGGGTTTGGCGAATTTCGTTTGGTCAGAAAGGATCGCTGAGATTTTATCATTATAATCTTGGCGATTCATAACTACGACACCCCCACCTTTGTCTGGACGGCATATGATAATATCATCATTCTTCTCTAGCTCTTTCAGTTGGTCTATATGCTCTTTAGTCAGAAGATTATTCGAGCTAGGTTTTGAACTAGTATACTGATGACAGCAATCAAGAACTGTGGATTTAAAGTATTGGAATTCCTCAGGTGATGTGGGTGTAAGATCGTTGGTCTGATTAATAAGATTTTCGAATTGCACTTGAGTATGCAGTCTGTTGACTTTGGATGAACTGTTTCTTTATAAAACCATATATATACGATTGTACAGCTTGATAATAAATTCGTTGAAAAGAGTCTCTTCGCTGAAAATTGTGTTCTTAAAAACGTAGATTAGCTTGCTCGGATGGTCGAGAACTTTGTAAGAAGCGAAACCATGTAAAATCTACTCGGAGAAAGTCAGCTGCTGAGGCATCACGAACAGACATTCTTGGTCCGTTGACCTTTTATTATCATGCATAATTTCTCGAGTAACTTGGGCTTAGTAGCAGTCATATACGACGACGATGTAAATGTCTAAACCTGTCGAAGAGTCCTTCTGGCTACAATGAGATCTATCATAAAAAAGTAGGATACTTTCGGTCTTAAGTGAATCTCATATAATGATAACCACTCCTAAGTCAGTACTTGCATGTTTTTTCTCAGAATCTGCCTGAAATTGCACTCCTTCATCTTTTTCTGACATTAATAAGTGGCATAGTGGGTAGCACGATAATTGCCTTGGAAGTGATTCCGGAAAATTTGGATAATATGCCTGAGTGAAACTTCCATGAATCTGCAGACCTGTCACAGATGAAATTCTAAACGGGTCTGTAATGAATTCACACCCAAAATGTATTTGGTGTGTAAGTTTCGTAGTTATAAGAAATCATCAAAATACACTTCAAGTGAATATATACATCACTTGTCTTCAACGTGTCAGTCATCAAAAATGATAAAAACGATCATCCGCTGCGTTTACACGGGATAAAATCTTAAATGAGTCATTTTAATTAAAATAGTATCACTTGTTTGAAATAGGCAATATAAGGTCAGAGTTCATCTATTTCTTACCAGCGCTAAAAAGGAATTATAGGCTTTTTGTTCTTGTCCATTATTCTATTCAATTTGGAAACAAAAAAGGCAAAGTTACTCAAGTATATATTGCTTGTGTACTTGATTTTTTAAGACAAATCAGTCTGTTGGTGAGACATTTCCTACTTAATTTGAATGGCTCAAAATAATCTAAATGGAATCAAATCCGTTCCCGCTACTGGAACCCCCTTGAATGAAGACAGCGAATCTAAAAGAATCTTCCATTGGAAGTGCTATCATCACTACTTCAGAACTTTTCCAGCAATGGTTAAGTTATGTGAGCTGTTCTGCATTCTGATTGCTTTCATAATCAGCTGTTTGGATAAAAAGTTTCTTCTTGTTGGAGGTTCTTGGCTGACCCTAACAAATGGATTGTCTTTTATTGTTACTTCTTTTTTCGTGATATTCCACTTCTTTTTGCTCCATCGTTTCATTGCAGCCCCTTGGTGTGTCATCGTAAGTGCTTATAAGTTATCACTCTATGCTTCAGGAATTAGCTGCTTATGTTGTGATGTGCGTACTAGTGTTTTCAAACGGAGTCTTATCCGCTGCGTATTCTCACTTGGGGGGATTGATTATTGCTGAGACGGTAAGTTTGTGTTTCCAGAAGCAGTATACTCTTATTATAGCAATTTACCTTGAGCCGAAATAAGCTCTTAGTAATAATTGTTACTTTGACACATTTTTTGTATGTTTAAAATACGAAAAATGTGTCAAAGTTGTTATTCAATAAGTAAAGTGCCCTATCAAAAGTGAGATTTTCTAAAGTAGGATAAAGAGCTTTCTAACTGTCTTAACTGATATCAAGATCACTGTATCCACATATTTTAATTTTCGTTAACAGAGACTGGAAACTTCTGTTGAGATTCCTACCTATCCTATTGAAGTTCTTAACACCGGCTTACAACTTCATATGGGAATCATGGTAAGACTCACAATACTGTATTTTAGAAATCCAAAATGTGTTATTTGGATCCATCTATGCGACAAGTGGCTACATAAATGTAGTACATCAAGTAATCAATCAGTATTATAGCCATGATATATTCCCTCTCATCAAAGTATCCTAGAGCCACATTTCTAATCATTTCATTCCAAAAATAATTAAAGCAGCTTGTTTGAAAGGTTTGGTAATCCATCAAAGGGTATACATAACCAACTTAATAAAGCTCAGCTCTTCAAAATCCCCTGCTCTTATAGCTAATAGTTCGAGATATATTCGAAAATTGAGTAAAGAATAGACAAGCCGGTTCTGTGATAATACAGACTGACAGAAAATTGAATGTACTCATTTGATTCGGTGGCCTGAGATTTTATTATCAAGCAGATTCCTAACAAAATTGCAAACAAAAACTAATGCAGGAAAAAAATTCAATGTTCAAATTGAATTATGACAAGTTTTCTTAAACATTTCTGAAACCGAACTAAACTTCCTCTTTTTTAGATCTTTATCTTTATGGCACTGGCAGTGTACATGGTTGATGGCCTGGTTACCTTCAAAATATTTACAGCTGGAAAGTACTATGAGTAAATAGCCGTATCTGAAGGTTGATCCACACTTATTTATCTGTAACTTTCAATTGTGCCTTAATCAATTTACCAGTTACCTTGCTTATTTACCTTAACATTTTAAAGCATTTACCATTTCTTTGAATAAAATTGAGATTCGACATTCAAGAAACTTTTTCCGTCATGCTTTTAACTGTAGATATATATTCCTTCGATAAGGAATTGGCAAAAACAAGAAAGATACAGCGGGTACATTTGCATACTATAAACTAAGCATGTACTGTCGATCAGAATATTCATTGGAAGTATGAAAAGATATTCGTGTGTTATAGATAGAAATTACTTTTCGTGGTTTGTAAAGCAATGAATAGCGTCCAAAAATTTTTACTTGACACTACGTACGTGGAAAGAATATTGTGCACGAAGAAGTACACATAAAATTATTATTCTATAAGTGAAAGACTGTAGGGTTAAGGCTATGACAGTAAGTTAGACTAAATAAAACACTTGTACATAAATTCTACTATTCCATTACTGCATAACAAAGGTTTTGATGATGAAAATGTGGAAAAATCCTCCTGAGCTGTTTAATCGTACACTATATATCATTGGTGTTGCATTGTCAAGAAAAAGTGTACTTAACAACTGAACTAGTCGATATTGTCTTCTCTCAACCTTAGAAATGACAGGATACGTAGCTGCTTGGCAAAAAACATAGTATTATGGAAAACTAAGAAACGATTCATGTGTATATAAATGTTCCTTAACCATTCACAAAAATAAAAGATTTTAACTGTAGAAAGCAGCACTACACTAGTCAACGGACTGCTATTTTTGAACGACTAAACGAATAGCAATACGGGGGAAAAATTGGGCTCCATATGAGTAGTATGTAAGTCTTTGTTGTTAAGTCCTTCTAAGATAAATAAAATCAGGCAAGAGTATCTTCTTGAAATCCATAACTGTACCTATTCTATTGTCGTCCTGATATCTTCCTCTCTAAAAGAGTTTCTGGTGAGACAGTTTTAAAAGTCTTATTGAAGCACTTTGTTGATCGTCAGAGTCTTCCTGCGATATATTGCGTCATGCCACTGTCTGTGTCAATGCATCTAATTCGAAACTATCATAATTTCCTGACCGACAAACTTTGGTCCTGATTCGATATGTTTGGTTATTAAATTTGAACTAAGCGTCTCGTAATATTAACTTAAATCATACTTAGTAGATGTGCCAGCATTTAGTCTGCCTAAGTTGACGCTACAAAGATACTGTTTTTGTCAGAACATTCATGAACAAAGGGATTGATGTCCTTATCATTCTATATAGATTCGTTCCACTTATTGATTTCAACGGAATATTTAACCAATATATTTTTAAAAGGTTCAAAACCTTTTATGCAAAGAGGTGATCTCGTTGTATGGATAACTCTTTTCTGCATATCTTTGACAAACCATAAAGATCCAAAACTGCTGACGTAGCAATTCTCAGCAGTGATTAATGAGGCTTTCTTAAATTTTAGGGGAACCAATGTTAACAGTTTTTCTATTTGCACAGTATTGTCTCTCCAACTGCTTTTGTGAATTCGCTTTCACCTATAGAATTATTCAATACTTTCTATGTAGTTTAAGTGGACTTCTCAACTACTTTTGTCTTCGCTTGAAAAAAAATCAAATCTGTATTGTAAGTCATCTTATAATTCTACAATGTGCCGATTAAGCAAGAGTCAAAAATGTCATCCTGCTGGATTTTTAAATGATAGACAGCAGCCGAGGAAAGTTGACTTAAGTGGATGGAAAACAAGCTTCTTCTAACTAGTCAGACTGTCGAATTTAACTCCTGCATTGCAGCAAGTCTTAACAGAGATTCAATGAGGGAACTTAGTGCTAGTCGATGGTGCTTGGAGATACTTCACCGAAAATGTTATTTTTGAGAATATATTGCACTCCTTTAAATTATGAAGCATGCTAATCAGATGTGAATTCAAAGGACAGGTTATCAAAGTGGACTTTTCGAAACTTCTTAAAGCTGTATGAGGTTGAATATTTGATTACCCTAACGAAGTAACAATGCAATTGAATTTTCAAATAAAAACAATAATTCCAAGCCTTTGTAACTTGATATGGCCTAGTGTTAATAATGCATTCAATCCTACTATATAACTGCGTGACTATGATAACTTCAGCCTTATCTTTGTATATACGTCTGCCACAAAAGCTTAATAATAAGGTTTATGAACGTGGTTTTTTACACGAAAAAGCTAGTAATATTCTTTTCCAGCATTCTACTTGGTAACAATGTATGCAAGTACGTCAGGAAGACAAATTCATCTATTTTACTATAAGAGAATGGACATCAGAGCTGAAGAAGTATGTGAGTTAATACTCACGTTTACTTCATGATGATCTCAAAATTGTCGCATGGAGGATAGTGTACGGTGAAATCATCACTAAGTAGGTCACGTGTTCAACTAAGCATTTCCTTACCTTGAAGAATAGAACTTTGTATAAGCTGTAATACACTTGCGACCTAAACTAATGTACGTCCTCATCTTATGAGAACTAAGCCTATGAGTTTTTCTGGATAATCGATTGCCAGATATCTAAGTGATCCTAGGTACAGATCCTGGATATTGGAAAGATCCAAATATACCATTTACTTACATTTCATTGAGTTTATAACAATAAGGTCGGGTGATGGCTACTACAACTTGCTTTGAAAGCGTCAGGAGGTTCCCACGCAAAAACGACTACAAATAGAGAACATCTAGTTTGTTTTCGTAGTAAATATTCTTAAACTCTTATTTTTATAATTCTCATGTGAAAAACGGGCTAAATCCATTCCATCTAACTCACACCACCCTCTTCATTTACAACTCTCCCCTTGTATCTCTTCAGGGAAAACCAGAAGCCTATATAGAAAACTATATGCTCGCACTGGTAAGTACAAAAACTCAACCATACCCTACTTAGCTCGTGTTCTGTGCGATAAAGAAAGCATTAGGCGTGATACCTATAACTTATTAAATAGTCAGTAGAACAACTGGATCTCGTCTTTCCAACTCATAACGCTTATAGGTACATTTTCTTTCTTTTTTTCCCTTTTTTGTTATGTGCTGTTTTGTTTCTTTCTTCCTTATAAACTCTATTTATAACATTCTTTTTCGTTCTTTCACGCTCTGTATATCTCGACCTTTTTGTTACCGCTTACGCCAGTAAATATGCTAGCATCTACTTGTCTAACACCTTCAAACATTCTGTCCACTTTTGGCTTTGCTACCGACATCTGTCCGGATTCAACATAGAACTTGGCATCGAAGTGCAGCAGTTCCAGCTGCCACGTTCCAAATAGCACACATAGGTAGACAAGAAGATGGGTGAAGAGAATCAATAGGATTTGACAAGTATGAGAGTGAGACAGAATGGGTAATGGTTAAAAGGAATATGAAAGATTACAGAGACTGAATACATCGCCATTGACAACGATTTTGAGTCATGTCACCTATTGTTTCCAGCCATTGATTCCTAGAGTCCTGAGGGCCCCAACCCGGAAGTCTGCATCTCCCGCCCTACCTGACTCAGTTTAACTGTCAGGGATTTCATGGATTGGTGCCATGTTTTTCTTTGGCCACTAAATACTCTTTTCCAACCTGAACCTTTATATCAGCTAGTAATGCCCGTCGGGGGAGGCGATGGTTAGGCATGTGACCTAGCCATCTTAGTTTATGTAACTTTATAGCCTCGTCGATTGATTTTCCCTCTTTGCCCAACGCTTAACGTCAACATTACTTACCTTATTAAACCACCTAACGTGAGAAAAGATCGTACACATCTATGATCAAAAACAGCCAACCTTTTCATGTCTTTAACTCGTATTGGCCATGTTTCAGAGCCATAGACAAGGACGGAGCGAACTGATGAGCAGTACACACGTCCCTTGGTTGATAACCGGATGTCACGCCTACGCCAGAGATGGTGTAAGTCAGCGAAAGCAGCTCGAGCTTTTTGGATCTGTGCTGAGATTTCGTCGCAAATCAGTCCGTTGGTGCTGATACAACTTCCCAAATAGGTGAAGTGGTCAACATGTTCTATCACTTCACTCCCTATCACTAAGCTAGGCGTTGACGTAGTCCAGTCCTGTAGCAGCATCTCACATTTTACAGGGGCAAATCGCATGCCAAACATACGAAGATTGCTGCTTAAGTTGTTCAGAAGACTCTGCATTTTGTCATCTGCATATTCTAAGTCCATAAGACTATTCCCTGGTAATAAGTCGATTTCTAAGCCGTTAAGTTCAGTTAAGGATACTTCCATTAGCATATCTATGATGAAGTTAAACAGAAATGGGGAAAGAGGACATCCCTGTCGGACACCACTGGTTGTTATCAATTCAGATGACAATTCCCCATAAGCCCTTACACGACTACGTGAGTTTGAATAGAGTGCCTTGATTAGTGCAATGTACTTTCTTGGCACTCCCTTCACAGTCAGACATTGCCATAGTACCTTTCGATCCACGGAGTCGAAGGCCGCCTTCAAGTCAAGAAATATGGCAATTGTTGGACGCCGAAAAGTGTGTCTATTTCCTAGAATCTGTCGAAGAGTGAAGATATGATCTATGCACCCTCTGCCTGGTCTAAAGCCTGTTTGATTTTCCCTCGTTTGTTCCTCCCGAGTTCTGCCTAGTCTATGCATGATTACTGAGCCTAGGACTTTAGAAACTATGTTCGTTAGGCTGATCTCCCTATGATTATCACATGAGGACTTGTTTCCCTTCTTGAATGTCGGTATAATAAGTGACTTACCCTAGTCTGAGAGAACTGTCTCTGATTCCCAGATTTTGCCTAGTACCTCAGTTAATCCACAAACTAGTATGTCACCCCCATATTTAAGCACCTCCGGAATAATTCCGTCGGGTCCTGCCGCTTTGCCTCGTTTCAAATTACAGATAGCTTTTGTGACCTCACATACAGGCGGCGAACCAGTGTCTATATCCCATTCGGGTGTGTTGCTACCGACATGCTAATATGTTGTTGTCAAAACTGAGATTACCCGTAATCTATGTGGAATTTTATTTGTTGTTAATGTACCAACTGGATGCAATACTGTAGTGAAATGCTGGGAATTCCGTTCTGTATCATAAGTACTTTTTTAGAATAAAGCAAATTATTA